TCGTTTACATTTTATTTCAATGCAACATTATTTTCATTCCAATTCAACACATTTCTGCCCAAACTCTCATTAATGTAATTTGTAACTGGTCATCTTACTTTTAATTGTTTTCATGACTCTCATTATTCTCATCATTGATTCTCATTAGATTCTCATTTAAATAATACTTACAGGTATATATGTCAGCAGAATTTATTTTTAGTACAAGTAATTATTATATTGTTTTTGTGATTGTATTTATTCTCAACAGTGATTCTCATTAGAATCTCATTCAAAAAATAATACAAAAATATATTTTTTATCAGTATAATTTATTATAGCATGATGTATAAACACTTCACAGTTTAAGTAATTATTTTGTTTGGATTACAGTGATAAGAATTTGAGGGGTTGCATGTAATTTTCTCCTGATTTTGGGTGAAATATAGCAGGACCAGAAAATATGATATTCTTGAGATTTTGTCTCCAAGGTTTCTATATAAAAATATTACATATATATATATATGAACTATTCCTAAAAGAGCTGCACATACTGTCAGAGCTGTGGCATAGTGGTTAGACACAGGTTTTGGGAAACACAGGTTTAAATCTGGTGTTAGTTTTGGTTCTAATCTTCCTCTCTTTGTCCAAATAATGTTTAAATGTCTTCTCTCTATAGTCTTTAATGATAAAAACAATGCAATTCTCTCTTTTGAAATTTCAGCTTCAAACTGCTGTCAGTCATTGCCAAAATCTTAAATGAGATGGACAACATTAAGTCTGACATAAAAGGTCACTAAATATACATAGTCTGTCTTGGCTTCTACACAAGGTCTCACGGTAATCACAATGTACAGTCAACAATCATAAAAACAGAACAAAATCATATAGTCCTTAAACTTCATGCGTCCTTAAACTTCCACAATTTGGAACTGAAGAACTATTCAGATCTAATGACTAGTTCATCCTAAATTTAATAAAAAAAATTTCTTTCTCTTTATTTATTCCTTCCCTTTCTAGCTTGTACTTATTTGAACAAATGCCTGAAACTTGGTATTACAAGCACTTCCCGCCTGTTTGCCTCTTTAAGATGAATCGCTTTATGTATTCCCCGATTGTAAGTAGCTTTGGATAAAAGCGTCTGCAAAATGACTAAATGTAAATGTAATGCCATTTTTTGTAGCAGGAAAGCATAGAAAATTGTTTGTTAAAAAAAGTTAATTGTGACCATCTCAGAATTCTGACTTTTTTTTTTTGTAATTGTGAGATATAAAATTAGTTTTGCAAGAAACTCAGAATTACAATATATAAACTTAGAACTGCAAGATATAAACTCGCAATTCTGAGAAGAAAAGTCTGAAATGTGACATGCAGTATAAACTTAGAATTAAAAAAAAAAAGTCAGAATTGTGAGATAAAAAGTCGCAAATACCTTTTTTCAAAGTTTTTATTCCGTGGCAGAAACAAAAAAACAGAATTGCGATATGTAGAATTCTGAGGGGAAAAAAAGTCAGAATTGTGAGATCACTCAGAAACTCTTGCAATTCATTTTTTTTAATGTCTTGCAATTCTGAGTTTATTCACTTAATTTTTTTTCCTCACAATTCTGACTTTTGGCGAGAATTGCAAAAAAAATAAAAAAATAAATCAGAATTGTGAGATGAAATGTCGTAATTTATTTCTTTTTTATTCTGTGGAGGAAATGGGCTTCCATAGAAAATAACCTTTATTTGCATTTGGTCTTATTCTTTCTATTAAATAGAGTTCACGCAGCCTACACAAAAAAACACAAAGTCAAAAGGGTCATTCACACTGACTGTGATTCAGAAACACCAACAATCCACACGAAGAAACCACTCACAGACAGTGTTGGGAGTAACGCATTACAAAAGTAATAATATTACAGTAGTATATTACTTTTTGCTGTAACGCAGTAATATAACGCTTTTGGAAGTAACTTGCCCAACACTGCTCACAGAAAAGAGAAATCACCAGTGAGATCTCTATAACATCAACTGTTTCTCCTTTACTGCAATGAGAGTGAATGGAGACAAATAACTTCTTCCTTAAATGTTTCTCCTACAAAAAAGACACTTATAATTGCTCAGATCTGCCAAAGCAAGAGTTAGAGATTTTAATATGAACTCAAAAAATAACTTCTTCCTTAAATGTTTCTCCTACAAAAAAGACCTAATAATCGCTCAGATCTGCCAAAGCAAGAGTTAGAGATTTTAATATGAACTCAAATGTTTCTTATCAAATTATCTGAACTGCTCCACATTCATTTATGATGACTACTGACTCCATTATCATTTCTCTGCAGGACATTTAGACGAAACATCTGAGCAGAACTCACAGTAGACATCCACCCTGATGGACTTGATGGCCGGTGAACCCAGTCCGTTCTCAGCCTTGCAGTAATAGCGTCCGCCCTGATGTCTCTGGATCTTTGCGATGTGAAGGGTTTCGTTGAATACGCTGGAGTCCTGGAATCGGTCCGACACGCTGCCTGCTGTCTTGGTCCATCGAATCTGCATGAGAAAAAAATCACTTCAATCTCTAATCATACCATTTGACACATTACACACCATTTAGAGCCTAATGGAGCATTGATGGAACCATATATGCACGTTAATGTTGCATGAACAAGTGCAGAAGCAGCGATGCATGTCTTATGCATGTGAATAATCTAGATCTATGAAGGCGTTTCACGCAATACAGCTGAAATGGCCTTTTAGAAATAGACTTCAACCCAACTTTGCTGAACAAACACCACAGATCAAGACAAGACACTATAGCAAAAATCATTGTTTTTCTTTGTGCACTGGTCAATTATGGTTCCATAACCTGTCTTCTTTCAGAGTAGTGGAAAGAAAACATCCAAGTGTTTATTTAAGACTCTTTAACTACTTGCGTCTATAGATTTCTATGACAATACATAACTTTAAAAGTTTTTTCTCCACTTCAGCAGCACTTACATGCACCAAATTTTAGAGTTTTATTCATCTCTATATTCTGAAGGTTTTTACTGAGGGGTTTGTTCATATAACATTAGTTTGACATATATTTAACATTTTATTAAACATGGTGAAAATGTATTTTTTCTTTCTGTTGACCGTATTTTCTAATTCATGGAGTGATAAAAAGAGAAATGCAGAATCACCTCTGGAAAAAACCTTTAATATGTCAACAAGAATTTCAAACCAATGTTCAAACTATTGGAAAGAAAAAATCCAAAACACACATTTAAGTGTTTGTTTATTGCACTTGATCTATTTGCGCCTATAGGCTAGATTTTAATTCCAATGCATACTTTTGAAAGTTTTTTCCCTACTTCAGCAGCTCTTACATGCACCAAATTTTAGAGTTTGATTCCTCTCTGTATTCTGAAGATTTTTACTAAGGGGTTTGTTCATATAACATAAAATATATATATATATTTAACATTTTACTTCTAAAACATAGCTGAAATGCTTTTTTTCTGTCTGCCTGTGGTATTTTCTGATTTATGGAATGATAAAAAGAGAAATCCAAAATCCCTTCTATAAAAACCTTTAACTCTAATATATCAACAAAATCAAACAAGAATTTTAAACCAATGTTTAGATGTCTGTTCTGTAAATTTAAAGCAAATTAGTGCATATTTCATTAGATAATGCCTCATTTGCGTATTTAAACATAACATTTCAGAAAATCTGTAATACAAAACAATTGTCTTATTGTACAGTGTTTATTTAACTAGGGAAAGTACTGAGACATCTATTAGTTAAAATTTGTACCCTATTCTCCTGTGTGTCTTGCTATTTTGTGCATCGCTTTATACGACCAGACAGCGTGTGACTAAACCACCCACACAAGACCTACCATCAGCCTGAGCATCAAAACTCTGCAAGTCAAAGCTGGTTAGTCTGCAGAAACGTGTTCTGCGGAGTGACAAGGTGATACCACACGCTGACATTCACTTTATTTCGCCATCGCGACAGAGATTAACCGTCGTGTTCCTGTAGAACCAAGGGGAGGATCTGATGAGGATTGAGTGTCCCAGTCAAGGGATCTTGGGAAAGTCAGGACACGGGGAGGGAGGATCTGTTTTTGTCAGTCTGTGTGATTCGGGCCACCCAACTCATTAGTGCCATAAATTTAACCTCAAGCTATTTGTTTATAGGCTCTGTTTAAATTCAGTGACCTTACAAACAAAGCATTGAAACACTGACTGCAATTCACAACCTATCGAGTATCGTATTCTATAAAATCAATAACTGATCTTGGTTTAAAACACTAAACAGAAGACAAACATTTATGGGGGCAATAAGATCATCTTAATGTGAACTGATACACAATATTTCAGACTGTTTCAGCCTGGAGCCAAATAATAAAAACTGACATTGTGGCTGTAGATTCAGATTTATGATACTTATGTTTGAGGTTTACAGCTCCTGAAATGGATATAACAGCATATTATAAATCAGACCAACTAACACCATCACATAAATATATAGCAGATTGTGCAAGGTTATATATATATATATACTGTATGTAATGCCATTTCAGGTTTTCTACTTTAAAATGTTACATTTAATTCAATGCGTTACTTTCTGTTTCTTTGTAATTGTTTGTCAAATTTACTAGCAATTTATTACTGAAAAAGTTTTCTATTGCTTTTCAGTCTATACAATGTCAGTAAGATTAATTTTTTGAAAGAAATGATTACTTTTATTCATCAAGGACACAGAATTGACCAAAAGTGTCAGTAAAGACATTTACAATGTTACAAAATATTTCTATTATACAGATTCACATAGAAAACAGCTGTTTTAATTTGTAATAATATTTTACAATTTTTACTGTATTTTTGAACAAACAAATGCAGCCCTGGTGGGCAGAAGAGACTTCTTTCAAACAGACATGTTAAACTCCACAAACATAAAACTTTTCTATGGTACTGTAATTAAACACAGGGATAGCTCCATTTGATCTCTGAAGCCACGTGAGCGAGTGTTTGAGTATTTAACACACAACGTTGTGTTTCTGTGTGAAAGCCGGAGCCGGAGAGGACAGACAGACTCTAAATCCTCACTGTCGGTGCTTTGTGATTAATCTGACAGTCATTTCAAACTGAGGTGTCGTCGTGAATATGAATCGAGTCGACTGTGATCTCTGTGAGAAGATTCAACAAAGACGAGCTTTTGCCGGAAACCCAGCCGAAGGAAAGCCAAAAAAACAAACCCTGCTTGTATTTCTGAAATATATAAAGGTGCTTGTCAAACTGCTGAGAGAAAATTAGAAAATGAAAAGGCCTTCAAAACACACAGTTACAATGATTCAAGGTAGGGGATAAATCTCACGTCATAAGAGTTGAGAAAGGGACTGTGGGAGTTTAATAAGTTCATCGCTTCGTCACTTCATCCCCATTAAAACAGAGTTTCTTCCTTCAGCCTCAGCAGATTCAGCATCCTCATATATTCACATTTATACAAAAAGCCATATCAATTGAAAAAGGTGCAGCACTCATTCTTGAGATGAAAACTTTATTGATTAAAATGACGTTTCCGTCGTTATCAAGGCCTTCATCAGACATCAAGAACAGCAATACCAAACAATGCTTTAAACATTCTTGTAATCAGCAACAGGTGTGTCACTCTGCCAATTAGGGGAGTGGCTTCCAAACAAGTTTAAGGAGAAAAAAAGAAAAAAAGAAAAGAAAAAGGAATAAGTAAAACATACCATAATCAATTTCTTGATTGAGACCTCTGGGAAATAATGTGTCTAAAGTAAAAATCCAAAAGGTCTCCCTAGATTTACGTTTCACAACAATGTCACCTCCACAAGAATAACGAATAACGGCCAGAGCTGCAGAATATCAAAAAATATTCATCAGAATTGACTCCGAAACCATAAATAAAATAAAATAAAAGAAAAGAAAAGAAAATACCATGAGGGTCACATCAAGCATTGTCACTTGAGTCTGGCATACATTACTTTTTATTAATCTGTATGTATTTGACTGTGATAAGAAGGACTTATGAAATTGTAAAATTGCATTGCGCACGCGTGTGTGTGCGTGTGCGTGTGTGTGCGTGTGTGTGCGTTTGTGTGTGTGTGTGTGTGTGTGTGTGTGTTCATAAAGCTCAGGTCAAAATAACACGGCAACAGGAGACAATTTTTGCAAACTACTTAAAGAGGCAGTTCACCTAAAAATGTGCGTTCTGTCATCATTTACTCGCCCTCATGTCATTCAAACCTGCACGACTTTCTCTTTTCTATGAAACACTGCAGAAAGCAGAAAGTTCACGCTGCTCCTCTTCAAACAGATGCTCCAAAATGACTGAATGTCATGAAAGAAGCGCGGAACACAATCTGTGTGGAACAGACTAAATCTGCGCTCACATTCATTATAAAAATGACTCGCAACATCAAACCAGAAGATATAAATATTTCAATTAAAACTAACGATGTGTAAAAAACATTTTGCTAATAACTGGATAATTTTAGCTGCCATTAACATTTCTGTCCCACTGACAAATGAATTATCCTGCTTTTTTTCCTTTGTATCATCGTCAGTCTCCGTGTGATATGCAGTATCATACAATCTCTGACGTGTGTTATGATTGAGCTGCTCATACAGTATTCAGACACACAATATCTACATACAGTGGGTACGGAAAGTATCCAGACCCCCTTAAATTTTTCACTCTTTGTTATATTGCAGCCATAAGATAACGCTGCTCTTCTGACGTGAAGTTCTCGGTTCGGTCTGTAGGCTCTGGACCGGATCAGACGTCTTCCGTCCTAATGATCTGATTTCAAAGGAGACTCTTTGATCTTCCCGCGCTCTCGTTTATAATGAAGCGTCGGAGCGTCACACTAACTCAACAGGCTTCACCGTTTCATCTGAAATATCGGGATCAATACCTGCCACCGCCACAAATTAACGGGCTGTACATTGATCAAAGAGGAATTAAATATTAATTAGGGTGAATGGGCAGAGTCAATCCCCAGGACACCCACAAATCACATTTCATTTATCCAGTCCAGCAGATCCTGCAAAACAACCTGCTGCCGCGGCTAAATAAAGCACAACCGAAATTAATAGAGACTTCTGTAAAAGATCAAGCTGGAGCAATGACCCAAACGGGACGAATGCTGCTCACAAATCACCAGAATTACTGTACAACATAAAAACATTCATCTTTTCTGCAGCTGTTAGTGTTAGAAATGAAAACAATCAACATGACAGCTACAGATCTCGATATTTTGCTTGATATTTTCTCTGTTTTAGTAGAATTATTTTATAGAAAATTATTACAACTTGAACTAGAATTAAAATGAAAATTAAAATAAAAAAGAAATAATTTTACGTAATACTATAATGGTAAATTTTACTGTATTTTTTCTTCTTAGAACTCAACTTCTACAACTTAACTGTTGCAATGTTATAAAAACAAATAATAACAATACATTAAAATAAAAAACAGTGTTGTTTTCTGTCAGTGACCTAAAAATTTTTGCTTCATATTTTCTAGATTTTAGT